TATAAAAATATAAACATAATACTAAACAACCTAAAACTACCTCGGGTACATATCTGTAGTACCTGTTACGACAACGACCCTTCGTGCAATACTGACGTCTTCAGCATGTTTCATAGAAAAATTCAAAAATTCATATCATTTCTGACAAACAATCGACACCTTTCCAACTCTTTGTCATTTGAGCAAAGATCTGATTAATTGTCATTTATCGAATGCGATGTGTAACAATCACACGTACGTATCACAATTACATCAATTAATCAATTGATTAATGATCAAGTAATCACCAGAAACGAGTGTTTGATTATCATGATCATGATTGATCATATCTGTGTATTCTCGATAGTTATCTTATTAGATAGATATCGAACATTGTGTCCGTTTTTACAATCGCTGGGATGTATTAAGATTGCCTTTGTTCTGGCCTACGTACTGTATAAGCTGTATATTTCGCGGTGGTTTAATTTCCGCGAATTTCGCGAACGCGTCCCTGACGCGAAAATAACAACACGCGAATAATTCATACCGAATAATACCGAATAATTAATAATTCACCGACCGGAAAATTAACCACTCGCGAAGTCTGAATTCGCGAAAACATCTGTACGCGAAAAATATGGCGTATACAGCATTTAAAACATTCTTGACGTTGCTCGTGTTGTAGAAGCGTAGCAGTGAAGAAAAGAGTGGCAGTCCTGCGAAACGCTCGAGGAAGCTGGCTAGCAGATCTCCCGTGGTCGCTCAGCTAGACGTGACGGAGAGCGACGAGGAAACCTTCTACTACACTCCGCCGCAGAGCCGACCGCAGCTGATGCGGCTGCAGCACACAGACCTACCTGTCACGGTCAGTAATGTATCTGATGTTTATGTTTTCTACCACCAGGTGTCAGTAGTCGTACCACCACTGCGATAATGTAATGCAACGGAGAATAAAATTATTGTCAACTTTATCTACAATCATCTGCTTATCTATTCACCATAACCATCACCAGATGCGTGTTCAACAGCGCGAACGCTCGCGTGCGCTTGCCTTCTGAAGGACACCGCGCGATCGAGCGCTCGCGAGTTGTTTTCAAGATGGCGACGGGCAATCTAGTGAATGCGAATCTAACACTTCTGACTTCAATTTCACTCTGTTTCAACTTCATTTCATTTTTCAATCATTCATTCACTTCTGAATTCAATTCATATCAATTTCGTCTGCTAATTCGTTTAACAGTATTTGTTCGAAGACATTAACATCTCGCGATGAAATCTGCTAAGGAAGCCGCCATCTTGGATAAAGCGAGCGCTCGGTGCATAGCTCGGTGTCGTTCAAGTGGCGCTGCGTTCGTGCTGCGAGCGTTCGCGCTGTTGAACACACCTCAGCAGATGCTACACTACCGCTCCCCCCAAGCGCGCAATGTGCCACACAAGCACGTCAAGCGCGTATGTCACTCGCCAACCGCCGCTCCTCTGTCATTGTCACCTCAGCGCAGCTGCAAGGTAAGGGCAAAGATCAAGCAGGCAGTGAGTACGTACGTGAGTATTCGCTTGGCTTTGTTATGTTTGATTTTGAGTTACATATACACTTCTAGTGCATACCTATGAAGCACTCACGCAGGAAATGTTTATTTTCATTAAATAGGGGAGATGTTATGATATATGACCGTCAGATGTCGCGTCGAGAACAACGTGTGTGTCGCGTGGTATGCACGCATGGTGTGAAAGCATTCCAGTTATTCAAAAAAGATATCTGCGTTGAGTCTATGCACATGTGTGAGCATCAAACATAACAGGCTTATTCCC